AATTTTGAAAGCTTTATCCTTATTGTGCATGGCTCTATTTTGTTCATTTTTTGGATGCACGTTTAAATTTTTACATGTTGTATAATTCAAAATAATGTTACGACTTGCTTTTCTTACTCAATATTGTATGTGTGAGATCTGTCTCTGTTTTTAAGAGTAGCTCTAATTCATTCATTTCTACTGCTGCATTGTAACCCATCAAATCAATGCAGAGCCATTTATATTTCCAACTTGGCTCCTCTGTTGATAAATATGTACATTGTTTACAATTGTGTCACCATTTCAAACAAATCTGCTCTCAATGTTCTTGCACATGTCTTCTTGTATATGTGTGCAAGAATTTTTCTAAGTCATTAACAACTTTACCAGATGATGCCAGGATCCTCTCCAAATTGGCTTACTATAATGTACCCCAACCAGCAGTGCCCAAGGACTCCCATTTTCCAAACATCCTCATATCAATTATTCAAGGACTTTTTAATGCTTGCCAATACAATGGGGTGCAAGGTTAATGCACTGTAGTTTTAAGTTTCCCTTTTGTGATTACTAATGAGTTTGGGTATCTTTTCTTGTATTTACTATACATCAACTATTTTTCATGTTTTAACTGCCTATCCATATCATTGTCCATTTATCTACTGCATTGATTTTTTTTGATTAGCATGAATATCTAGTATTCTGTATACTAATCCTTTGTTGACTATATGTGTTGAAAATATCTTCCCCCAGTCTGTGGATTGTTATTGTACTTTGCTTTGTCTGTCAGCATGGAAGGCTGTGACTTTAAGGTTGTTAAATTCATCACTATTCTCCTAGATGCTTTGTGATTGTGTCTTCTTAAAGTAATCCTTTCTTCTCCTAAAGATTGGAAAAGTAGTTTCCTCTCTTTTCTTCTGAAATATTTGCAGTTTATATTTTCAGATTTACATCTGTACTCTGTGTGTGTGTGTGTGTGTGTGTGTGTGTGTGTCTGTCTGTGTGTTTGTGATTCCACATAGAAACAGACCTAGCATCATTTGCTGGAGACTCCATCATCTCCACACGGATCTACAATGCCACTTCTGTCACATATATTTTAAAAGATTTTATTTATTTATTTTTAGAGAAAAGGAGAAAGAGAGGGAGAGAAACATTTATGTGTGGTTACTTTTCACGTGCCCCCCACTGGAGACCTGGACTGCAACCCAGGCATGTGCCCTGACTGGGAATCAAACTGGCGACCCTCTGGTTTACAGGCTGGTGTTCAATCCACTGAGCCACGCCAGCAAGGGCTTCTGTCACATATTAATCATCCACATATGTATTGTTTTCTCTCTGGGCTCCCCATTCTGTTCCAAAAGCCTTTCTGTCTACTACTATATCAACACACCACTGCTTTAGTTCCTATGTGTTTAAACGGAATGTTGATATCTAATAGAGCAAGTCCTCCAACTTTGATCTTTTTCATGGGATGTATCTCTTGCTGCATAAGAAGCCCCCCAAAACTTAGTGACTTAAAGTGACAGCTTTTATTATATCTAGTGATTCAGTGAGTGAGTCATTTGGGCAGGGATGGAGTGGCTGTTCCATTGGTACCAACTGGAGCCAGTTGGTGCTTTTGGTCAGGAGCTGGGCTGCACTGGAGGGTCCAAGATAGCTTCACTCATATGTCTCATACCTTCCAGGAGACAGTTAGAAGGCAGAAATCAACTGGTTTCTTCTCCCTAACCATGTAGCCTCAGGGCCAGCTCACTGGTCTGTCCAGCAGGTATTCAGATTTGTTACATGGTAGTTCAGGGCATGAGTTGCCATATACGGCATATAACAATAGGATATCTCCAGAAAAAATTGTTGCTCACATAAACAACAAATATTGCTTTTAGTGTAAGCACATCTATACAAGATTTGCAACATGCTCATACTACAGTTTATTGGCTGTTTTTCTGAAATTCAAATTTAACTAGATATGCTTATTTTATTTGGCTGTCTTCTTCAGAGCTTGTGTAGCCCAAGACAAAAACTGTAGTCTCTCTTAAAGTTTAAAGTTCTACTTAAAGAACACATACTCCTTAAAATGATCTGATTCATATTATAATGACAACTTTGTCTTGTCAAAACAAGTATACATACAGCACTATCACCACACACTAATTCTGCTTCAAACATGGACAACATTTTTTAAAATTTATTTATCTTTAGAGGGGAAGGGAAGGAGAGAGGGAGAGAAATATCAATGTATGGTTGCTTCTGGTGCATCCCCTGCTGGGAACTGGCCTGCAGGGAACTGGCCTGAAACCCAGGTATGTGCCCTGACTGGGAATCGAACCGCGATTGTCTGGTTCGCAGGCCCGCGCTCCATTCACTGAGCTACACCAGCCAGATGGACAACATTAATTAATATTAACTTCAGACAAGCCATTACTTAAAAAAATCTTCAGGGGGATGGGGTAATTGGTTGTTGTAATTTGGGAGTTGGTTTTCTTTTCCCCCTCCTTTTAAATAAAAAGAACACATTACTTACAATTCAGCACATTTACTTATTTTGTTATAATCAGTGCTTAAAATATAAACTACATGTGTCAAGATTATAGAGTCTTTATTACTGGCCAAAAAATAAATAACCACATTATGAGCCTGATGCTAAACAACATTCCTGTCTGTGTATTCAGCTGCCCACTCTTGGTAAGTAAATGAGTGGTACAGAACTTCTATTTATTCACACCCACCACCAAATTAGAGGTTAAGAGTCCATATACTGTATTTGTCTTTCTCCAACTAACTTCACTCAGCGTAACACTCGCCAGTTCTATCCATGCTGTCACAAAAGGTAAGCTTTCCTTCTTTCTTATAGCCCTGTGGGATTCCATTGTGTACATTTCGTACCACAGCTTTTTTATTCCCTCATCTACTGATGGGCACTTGGGTTGCTTCCAGATCTTGGCTACTGTAAATAATACTTCAGTGAATATAGGGGTGCATATATTCTTTTGAATCAGTGCTTCAGATTTCTTCAGTTATATTCCCAGAGATGGAATTGCTGTATCACAGGATTATGTATCCAAAACCTATCTAATTTTATTAACCAAGGTCACCTCAATTAATTCAATAAAACACTTAAGAAGAGTAAATAAAATGTAGATGTAAAATATGTGATAGCTTTACTTCCATTTTACAAAAAAGCAAGAACAAAAAGAAACTTTCCACCAAGTTATCTGAAATAAAATGGTAAGATAGCTTTCAAACAATCAACAACTTTGATTAACAGATCAGCTCCGATATGAAGTCTTGCTTTTGGAATTCACTGTACAATTGTCATTCTTCTATCCTTTCACTTCATGTTGTTCTGCAGTATGTCATTTTGTTGCTTGTGGTCTTACTTCATGTTATTTCATCTTCTGTTGTTTCCTGTCCAATTTCTTCTGAAGTCAGTCCCTAAAGGTCATAGTCGTACCTTTTATTGGCGGGGTGAAAATTACAAAACCCAAGCCCTCCTGCCGCTGTCTGCCTCTCCTAGCATCACTGTTCATTGCCAGTGGATATTGCAGCAGCTGTGTGAGTCACTTTTGCCCAGTTCATAGAAGCAAAGACACAAGAATAATTTCCCAGAAGTGAAGTTCATCAAATATTGCATTAGTATGTCCAGAAACTTTGGGATCTCTCATAGGGATGTCTTGTCAAACCTGAGGTCCTCCAGCAGTCTGAGAAAACTTAAGTTGGAAAAAATAAGAAGCAGCATGGATCCATGGTGGTTCTTAGGCAAAGGATTATAGATAAAGGGGTGAAATCAAATGAGCTTTGGAATGCTATGGATATCTGCATTCCCATCAGCTGGACATTACCAGTAATAGAAAACTGAATTGAATTGGACTAGGAATTCCTTACCCTCCAAAATCTGCATTATCTGTTTAACAAAGAGGAAGAGCTGAGTGTCTCCTCATTCCCACCCCATCAAAGAGTAGGCAGCTCTCCTACTCTTTTCGACAGGAGACCTTTCCCCCTTTGCATTGGGGAGGGTCCTCTACTAAAGCTATCTCTTCCCCTAAACTAGGGGCTTGGTCTTGCATTTTGGTAGGAACAATGGTTTGAGATTAACTAGAAACAATGAAATTAGGATCCTCCTTACAACCTCAGCTTTAGTGAACCCGACTGAGTGGGGGAGGAAATGAGGTTTGGCTGTGGGTTGTGCCTCTGTAAACTGAAGATGTTGGAGATCTTTTTGTTTTTAATTTATTGTTGTTGGGTTACAGTTGTCCCACATCTTGAACCCTAGGTCTGCTCTGATTCTGATGGTCTGTCTCTATCTTAGTTCTTAGCCTGGGGGACAAAGAGGAGGACACAGAGTGCTTCAGGACCATGGAGAGATTACCTGGTGCCTCATTCCACCCATCACGTTCATCTCAGCGTCCCAGCACAGACTCTCTTGGGAATTGGACATTGCTGAGAGAAATAGGAAGGGGAAGGGTACCTCCCGGGTGAGGTTTGGGCTTAGTTCAGAGGAGAGAGGTACAGGTTAGTAAGGGTGCAAGTGGTAGACTCAAAGAACCAGAAGAGACATCGTCCAGAGCTCCCAGGCAGAGTGTACCTATGCTGTACATTCTCTCCAATGCAACCAGCTGTGGTTACCCAGCGCCCCCTCTATGCCAGGCACCGTTTTAGACACAGAGAACAAAAGCAATGAATTACACCAGGGCTCCCATTAAGGTCCACTCAGGTGGGGCGCGCCTCTCCAGAACCTGGAGGTGGTCAATCGGTTGTTGCCCTAATCTCCACTTGTCTCTCCACTTCATAATCAGCAAAAACCTGGAATAAACCAGTCTCCCCGATCCCGCTAGAAGCCGTAGCGCGGCTTCCAGGCGAGCAGTGGTGAGAAGGGAGGGGCAGGGCGGAGGCAGCCGGGACGCCGTGACCTGATTTCATTTGCCACGTTTCTCCTTTCTTGGTCGCGCCCACGTGACCACATTCCCCTAAATAAAGTTGAACAGTTCTAGGCTGTGCTCAGTTGCTGAGGGAGACAGCACTAACAGTGAGCTTCCCTGGCTGCAGCAGTCCTCTGCTGGCACCCGACCCCCTCAACACACACAGCCCTGCACCCTTGGATCTGAGGCATCATCTAGAGCCCAGCTCAGTTCCTAGTACAGGAACCGCACAGGTAGGAAGCCTCGCTCACCCATTCGATGAAAACCTGGGTGGGTGGGTGAGTGGGTAGGTGGTGGGGCTTTGGCACTGACAAACAGAGCTGGGCTGGGGGTAATGGGGAGTCAAGAGGTAAAGAGTGAGCTCTAGCCATAAAGAAACACTTGTAAGGACAGGATGAGGTTTGTGCGTGTGGGTGCTGCTGAGCGCGCAAGGCTTTGGGGAGGCGGCGTTGGACTCCAGATGAGAAAAGTGCAGTGTTCTGGGACTCCAAAAGCCTGGGATTTCTCCCCAACCCAGCCTCAACCTTGCAACATAACCTTGAGCCAGGAGGCTGTCTTAACCTCTCTTAACTTCGTTTTACCCATTTGCAAGAACCAGGCTCAGGCTCCCGCAGATTTCAGCTAGTAATGCAGCTGAAGGCGCAGAAGAGACAATGGCGGAAAGCGTGGCGCACCTGTGCGGAGGGCTGCGGACTTGAGCGTCCGTGACAGAGCTCTCCTTGAGAATGGGGATGGGACAGGCATACGGGGGGCGGAGCCGGGCGTCCACCTCTGGGGCACTCGCCCCTTCGTCACCCGCATTCGGATCCAGCTGCAGCTATGGACAGAGCTGGGGTCCTAGGGCCCTATCCCCAGGCTGCTGGCTTCCTGCAGTTGGGCCGGCATCCAATCGGATTCCTGGGCCCTACTTGTGGAGATGGGACCCTAACTTGCTATATAAGGGTCCCCAGAATGTCTAGGCTCCTCCCAGGCCACCCCTCCCCAAGGATGCGTCTGCTCTGGGATTACTGGGAGAAAGGGAGGGGGAGGGGATGAGAGAGTGGGAACCAAAAGAGAGGGAAGCAGTGTCTGTGTGTGTGGCGGTGGGCGGTGATACCATCCCTCCAGAATTCTCAGTCATCCAGCTGGTGCCAAGGACGCCGGTACTAAATCTCCAATCTCTTCACGAGGGCCCTCTACCTCAACATAGTTCTGGAGGTAACAGCTGAGACACCACACCCCGCCTGGAAAAGGGGTGGGAAAGCAGGAAGCTGACCCTCCGGGAGCCCAGGAGCAGTGATCCCCCAGCCCAAACCTGAGAGCGCTTTTGAGACACACAGGTTTCATCCCACATTGAGGGAGAAGTGGTGGAGGGAGGGAAAGGGCAGGGTGGGGAGGGGTGATGTGGGGTGGGGTGGGGTGGGGTGGAGCAGGCACACTACTGGCCTACGCAGAGGATGGACCCTATTCATTTCAGAATCGTATCTGGCATCTCCGTCTGAGGACAGTAGTAGCTGCACCAACCATCTGAATGGCCCAGAAGATGGAAGCCTGAAGGAGAGAATAGCGCCCTGAGACTGTCTGTGCCTTCTGCATTGGACCTCAGGTATCCTGGGGAAGGGTGGAGCCACGGAAGAGTATAATATCCTCCAGTTCTTCCCTCCGTTTGAATCCTAGACTGCCCTACCCCCACTACCTTCACGGAACTATGACACAGTAGTGCTCCTGTCTTCCTATCTTCTTTTCCATCTTCTTATCTTGAAAGCAAATATCTTATTCTACCCTTACTAGCAATGTGTTTTCAACTGCCCTGACTTGGGAGTGGTAATAATTTCCCTCTCAGAGTATCTACCACCTCCATGTCCCATCAGACGTGAGGTGAAATTCAAAGAAGAAATAATAGTTCAGTGATGCATTCTGGGGGGTGGGGCAGATAGGTAACCGTTAAGGTGATTGATTACCCCACCTCAGATTAAAATGGAAACCAATGTATACCTGCCAATAACCCTGATTTTGGGTGGGGGTAGGGAATTAATCTGCGAAAGCAATACATCTAGACTCGGGCAAGAGAATAGACTTACAGATAGTTGTGGAGGAATAAAGAGTTGACAATAATTTTCAGTGTGTGGTTTTCAAAGATGGTCCCTAAGCATGTGCAGACCTGCAATGCAACCCTGGCTGTCCCATCCATCTCCCTTCCTTTCTGGCGGCTTTAAGTGCAGACTAGCTCGGCATCAGGCTACCGAAATAAGAAATGTGCTGGTGCCTGCCCCTCCCTAGGACAACTATAGTGCTAGAAAACTTGACTGGGGACTTAGGGCTTTAGTGCTATGCTGCTTTAATGGTATCTGTCTTTTATGTTTTTATTTTAATACTATCTGCATTTCAAAACCTTTTAGATCCAGATTAATGGAAGACATTTTTATTACCACCTATGCTAAAGTACCATTAAAATAGACACAATGATCACCAATGACTCTTACAAACATATATAAAAGAAAGTTTTAGGCCATGGAGTCTCGATTTCTGCTTTTTTTCTCTTGCGTGTCTACTGAAGTAAAATCCATAAATTGTGTGGGAGATAATTTTTCATGGGGAGGGCTTATAGGGTAGAGAGGGAGGGCATGGGAGGAGGGAGTGAAGACAAGAACATATCCTTAGAGACAGTGGTAAGTGATCAATTTGAGTTGGTTTTAGCAAGTTCTTTGAACTTCAGATGCTGAATTTCAGGAATGAGAAAAAGAACAAGCTGATAGACTTGGACATGTGACACGTACACTGACAGGACTCATTTTCACGATGGTACCTGTGGCAGGGTACTGAGGCCAGGAGGCTGGAGGCCTTCTCTGTGTCTGTAGCTGAATCCCGCCCCTCTGTATCCTCTGCATGCACCACACACACACACACACACACACACACACACACACACGAACATGAACACACTTTAGTTTGATGAATATTTGTTGGATTCACTTGAAATCAAGGAATAAGTGCCTAGAATTGGTATAGGGACTGATTTTATCTGTGGCCTCCAATTACCCCACCCCTGCCTTCATTCCCTGTCCCTTGAAATTTCTTCTTAGAAGTTTAAACTTTGCTAAACAGAGGAAATGTGATACAACATTGCATAGACATAATGAAATCACTAGTTGTATCATTTAAAGCTTCATTATGTGCCCTCTGTTACTCAAAACCAAATCTGTACTTACACTAATGACTGGTATGACCAATTGTGAAAGCTCCTTCTGATGTAAATCATCATTCACTCATGTAATTTGACAGTGCCATGGAAGAGAGCAGGAGCTCTGGGTTTGTCTTCCCTCTGTGGGCTACTCCATGACATTAATGAGATTCCAGTTTTGGAGGGCTAAGGTGGGGGACTGCGCACAGAGCTGAATGGGGACAGTTTTGTTTTTGTCTGAGAAGAGCGTGTTTTATTTGTAAGGAGCTTATTATTATTTTACACAAAGACATTATAGATGGAGAAGAGATCGCCCTGTGGTAGAAACCACTATCCAAGTAGTTTGGCCCCAGCACGTGACAGTTGGTGACAGAAATTCTTTTGTGAGTTGTAGTCTTCTAGTGGAGCCAAAGTCAGTTGCCATGAGATGATCTCCATGGTCTATTGAGCAGCAAAGGTGAGACTGGCTCATGGCCACAAACTGGACTGCACAGTCAGTAAGATCTGCTTCCATCAAACTAAGGCTGCTGTAAGGAATGGGGACAGTTTTTAAAGGTTATTTGAAAAGCAGTTTGCCAGAGCACACTACTTCCCTTGCTTGCCAAAGCAAGCACAGCAGCAGTTCTCCAATCCACACAAATACTTCACACTGAATCTTTAATCCATGACTTAACTGGTATTGGAAACTTGGTATTTCATTCTCTGCTGCAGACAGTGTATCACTTTAAAAGTTCCAAACTGGTTTCCCATCTTCCTAGTTGGACTCTCAGCCTATTAAACTGAAATATAAGGGGAGTAGAGAGAGTTTTAACTGCTTTAAAGCCTCTGCCAGCCATGATAGTCTAGCATTCTATGATTTGATGAAACTCCAGAGATATATCTCCAACTCTACAGGTTCCTTTAATGAAGCCAGAAGATAGATCTGAAACGCAGGGTGGTGGGGGGAAGGGGAGATGCTCTTTAAAGAATAATCTGGGCCCTGCCTGGTATGGCTCAGGGGATTGAGCGCAGGCCTGCAAACCAAAGGGTCGCCCATTCGATTCCCAGTGAGGGCACATGCCTGGGTTGCGGGCCATGTCCCCATTGGGGGGCGCAGGAGAGGCATCCACACATTAATGTTTCTCTCCCTCTCTTTCTCCCTCCCTTCCCCTCTGTCTAAAAATAAGTTAAATCTTTCTAAAAAGAGAATAAATTGGCCTCTTGGGGGGAAGAACATGCCCATGGCCTCAACACATCTCTGCCTTTGAGTATCTGAAAAGGCCAAGGGAAGAGAAATGTAAGCCTTCCTTTTTGCCTGCCTTGCTCTACCATGATACATGGGTCACTTTTAAAAGCAGGAGCTACAAGGTAGGGGCTCTTTAAATGTAATAAAATGGAACCCCAGCTCCCCTCTCAAAAGCTAAATTTACCTTGTCATTTTTATGTTGAATTTTCTATTTTATCCAAAGAGATTTACATAATGGTGTAGTCATTCAAATCTTTGGATGTGAGCAAAATATATCCCCCACATACTCATTGAGGGACTCTCAGAAGCTGCATTTTTCAAATGGTACCCACCAAAAAGAATAAATTGCTCAAAATGGGGATTATTCTGATTTAAATCTTGGAGTCACTGATGGGAGGATCTTTCTGCAGCACCTCTGCGCTGTGTTGTACATTTTGGGCAGTAGAACATAATGTGTACTGCCTGTAACATGAACTTTGACCTTTGACTAGTTTGTTTACATTTCCATAAATTTATACCACTATTTTATTTCTCGTGTGCATCCCCTTACATCTGCTATCCTGTCTTTTTATCAAGGTGCATCATATTTCTTGCCCCCCCCCACTTCTCTAAAATCCAGCATTTAAACTGTTCTGGAAATTAACATATTGTGGGAGCATATGTGCTTTGATTAGAGAAAAGTGCTAATTTAATTTAGTTCATTTTAATAATAAAAGTATGCCAATTTATAGTAAACAGGAGTGTGTTAGAATTGGAAAGTGCTCAACAACATCGTTAATTAGCAATCAGACAGTGAGTTCCCCTTTACGGGGAGGGCTACTACAGACTTCCATGAAGAAATTCATTACGTGGGGATGGCTGGGGTGGGAGGAGAGTGGCAGGGGAAAAGGCAGACAACTGTGCTTGAATGACAATAAAATTAAAATTAAAAAAGAAATTCATTATGATTGTGGTATATATAATTATTCCCCCCAAAAAAGTTATCACTCAGAATTCCCCAAATTGAGGAAGGGTCACAGAGCAGTACTGGGGTTAAGGAGAGATGGTAATTATGAAAATAGCAGCATATAAGCATGTGGTTTGAAAAATATATATATATTTTAAATATTTTATTTATTTTTTGCAAGAGGGGAAGGGAAGGAGAAAGAGTGGGAGAGAAATATCAATGCATGGTTGCCTCTTATTTGTCCCCTGCTGGGAACTGGCCTGCAACCCAGGCATGTGCCCTGACTGGGAATCGAACCACGATACTCTGGTTCGCAGGCCCACGCTCAATCCACTGAGCTACACCAGCCAGGGTCTGAAAAAAATATTTTTAAGCATTTGTTATTTTCAGATTTGTTGTTATTCTACATTAACTACATTGTCAGAGTCCTTGCATTGAAACCAGCCAATCAAGGGAACTACTCTAGGATGGAGGTCGAAAATAGTATTGTGTTGTCTATACCACAGGTTACATGGGTTGGTGTGTATCCAAAATGACTGTTTTCTCCTGGTTTCAGATAATGTATTCCTTTAAGTAGAGTTAAAACACTTGCCAAATACCTGCCATTTTGGCCCAGTTTATTTTTCTAGATTCCCAATTTTCTACAATTTTAGAAAATGCTTAATTTCTCCTTAAAGACTTTAAGGGACATGCTTGTTGCTAAAGGGCGTGAATACTAACATCAAAGAGAAAGGACACAGGGTTCTGCTGCCTCTCTGAAAATATCATTAATGTACCCTATCCTACTCAATGAACTGCCTGCGTCTTGTGTGTGTCGCAGTTACACTTGGGGTTTTAAAACTTGTTTCAAATTTAACTTCAGGAACCCAGTATTAATGGAAAGTTGACTCCACTGTCTTCAAAACCAGCTTCTGAGGCCACCTAGTGGAGATTGCTGCCATTTTCCGGAACAGAAAATCCAAGTCTACTCTCCAGCCGTCTTCAAGCCAGGAAGCTGTGAGAGGAACGCTTTCATTGTTGCTTTTTCTTCCAATGAGATCACCCTTCAACTTAGCATTCATGCCTGCCTTCTGGACTTCTGAGGACTATGAGAATGTTGATAAGCTGAATGCAACCATAAAGGCTGAAGCCACCCATCTGGAGGCTCCTCTGTCTTCCACAGTGGCCTTGATAATAGTGTTGATAATTATTTTCTCATTGGTAATGACCTCCTTTGTGACATACTGTTTTCACAAGTGGAGGCTGAAGGGTCGCAAGCTGCAGAGAGCCCAGGAAGAATATCAAAGAGATCAGGAGAAAAATATATTTCATAGCTTTCCTGATCTTATTTCCTAAAAATGCAGTAAACTGACATGTGAAGTGTACCATCTGTGACAAAGCAACATAGCATAATATGACAAGAAATGAAACAACATGAAATTACAAGAAAGAAAGAAATTGGACATGAAACAATAAAAAGTGACATAATATGAAATAAAACCTTGGGCAAGAAAATGACATACTGCAGAACAACACGAAGAGAAAGGACAGAAGAATGACAATTGTACAGTGAATTCCAAAAGCAAGAGTTCATGTTGTAGCTGATCTGTTAATTAAGCTGTTCATTGTTTGAAAGCTGTCTACAGTTTTATTACAGGTTATAAGCAACTTGGTAGTAGGTTTCTTTTTGTCACTGTTTTGTTGTACAGTGAAAGCAAAGCTATCACACATGCTATCACACATTTTACATCTACATTTTATTCACTCTTCATCTTTGATTTGGTGGTGGGTGTGAGTAAATAGAAGCTCTGTACCGCTCATTTACTTACCAGGGCTGGGCAGCTGAATACACAGATAGGAATGTTGTTTAGTATCAGGCTCATAATGTAGTAATATCTGTCATGAAGATGAGAAAAAGAAAGTCTATAATCTTGGCACATGTAGCTGATATTTTAAGTACTGACTATAGCAAAGTAAGTAAATGTGCTGAATTGTAAGCAATGTGTTTTTCTTTTTTATTTAAAAGGAGAGGAAAAAAAGAGAACCAACTCCCAAACGACCAATTACCCCATCCCCCTGAAGTTTTTCTTAAGTAATGGCTTGCCTGAAGTTAATATTAATTAATGTTGTCCATGTTTGAAGCAGAATTAGTATGTGATAATAGTGCTGTATGTATACTTGTTTTGATAAGACAAAGTTGTCATTATAATGTGAATGAGACCATTTTAAGGCATATGTGTTCAAATAGTATTGACAATTGAAATATGAAAACTTTCTGGATGTTGTAAATGAAATCTACTAAATAATATATAGATTTATTATAGACTGTATTGTGGAGCATACCAGTTATTGGATATGAAAGCAAATAAGCAAGCACTCATACTTTAAATATATGCATTATAAATAAAATGCTAGTATTTGGATGCTAACAAAGCAATTGTCTTTGTATAAAATTGTGGTCATTAAGTAGTTAACATAGAGAAGGGCTGGGGGTCGAGATATGTGGAAACCAATTTCTGCACACCAGGGGATGTCTGAGAAAGGAAGATGGAGTGAAACTGAAGCAAAAAGATTTCTATAGGACAAACACAGGGTTTTAAAGTCTCAGAGAGCAAAAACAGAGATAAAAAATACATTGTCTCTATTCACAAGGAACATAAATTGATACTGAAAATGGACACTTAGGACAAGAGCCAGGAATATTTACAAAGCATATATAAGGGAATTCAAATACATATAGTTAACCAAATTGCCTCTGGGCCTCACTAGCCAGTGGATACATACACAGTCCATTAACGTTAAGAGCATGTAGTTCTCATTCCCACTCCCACTTGCTAACAGGGGGCCTCCAATATCTCTTAAACTTTACTGGGCGTCTCCAACGTGTGGGGGTGAGGTGCAGGGAAGGGGGCAATGGTGTTTGCAATCGGTATTTCCGCTGTAGTCACAACACAGTGATTGCTGTTTTCTTTCTCATGCACTGGTTCCCATTTGGCAACATCTGCCTCCTGCAAAGCTGCTCTGAGGAGCCTCGCTGTTAACTCTTGAAGATGATGCCCGTGATGTGGAAGCCAAGTGTGGGCCACTGATGCTACTGCTCACTTCCTACAAATTGCCACTCCCTGGGGTGCCAGAGTAGTGTGAGGCTCCATGTGGAACTGAACAGAAGGACCTTTATCCAATTTCATGCCAGTTGTCGTCACCTGGATTCCAAAACAGCATTGCTAGTTCCCATCTAAACAAAATGATTGTGCCCCACCCTCCAAAACATCTGAGGCTTGCACCTGTCCGAGGTGCACTCTTTCCCTTGAATCTGACTCCCCATCTCTCCTAAAACCCATGTCCCCTCCTCCTTTTCTCAGTTACAAAGCAAATTCCTCTCTCTCCTTCCAATATCAGTAAGTACAAAATGGACAATGAAAGAAAGTAGGAGAGGTTGTAGCCATACTACTTAAGCCCCTTCCCGGCCCCCCGAAAAAACAAGCTGTTATGGTAGTTCAGGATGCAAAAGGGTATGCATAGTAAGAGAGTAATGTAAGAGGTTGTATGAAGTTATAGGGATTTTATTCTCATAGAAGGATTTTGAATCATATTTTGAAGAAAAGGAAGAAAGTGATAAAAAGAGGAGGAATGGGAAAAAAGAGGATTAGGATTCCTACTGCAATAATGATGCTTGCAAAGCTTTAAATATTTGAACCACACCCTCCCTTTTTCTGAGGCTTCTAAGGGACATAAAGAGTTTCCTGTGGATGTGGCTTATACACAGTAGCAAGTGAAGCTGAAAGGTGGGCAAGCTGAGCTGAAGGTCAAGGGGGAGACTCAGTCTTTAAGGCAAAGAAGGCATTGAAATGAATCGTTCAGGAAAGGGGAGACTTCAGACAAAAAAAAAGAGCCTAGGAATTAGTGAGATCCGGGGAAAATCGAGTCTGTGAAGTCAGCCCCAGGCCAGTCTTTGAACCATTGGATGTCACCCTCAGCAGCTTTTTACATGCTTGCCATATGCGCAAACAGCTGTAACAAATAGAACTAAAGTTTACTCCCAAGAATGTCACCAGCAAAAGGATTCTTGTCATCCCCCCCTCCCAAGATGGACATCAGATTCAAAAGAAGGTTTACTGAAAACAAAGTAGAGGGCAGGAAGAAAGGGAGTTTGGTCCGTCAAGGGAGCAAACACTAACGAAGAATATGGCTGCCCGCACTGCTGCCAGGGTCTGACTTATATATGTCTGTGTCCTTCACGCAGACATGGAGTAGATGTCTTTGTTTTACCAGTTCCTGAGGTGAGCGGGCATCGACTGGCACAGGTGCAGAGCAGAGCTCTTCGCTTTTCAGGAGCGCTTTGCTTTTGTGGGCAGGTGTCACCCAGCGCATGCACACACAGCAGAGCTCTTTGGGGAATGCCTGAGGGGAACTTTTAAACTTATCTAAGAGAGCCTTAAAAATCATTGAAGAGCCTACCCAACCACTTAAAAGAGGCTCAGCCTAAGAATAACAGTTTTTTTTCTCTTTCATGTAACAATCCAATGCAGAAGGTCCAAGCCTGCTGGTGGTGTTAGGAGGGCTTGCTTATTGATGCATTTAGGGACGCAGGATAATGGTGTAACTGCTGTCATCTACACATCACCTACAGATGAGAGCTCAGACTGGCCAACATCTTCATTTCAGCCTTGTGAGAGCAAAGCCTTCTTGTCTTGTACAACTTGTAAGCAGTGAACCCAGCTATACTCACCCAGACTTCTAACAATGAATTTTGAGCTAGTAAATGAGTTTTGATTTCAATTGCCAAGTTTGGGGAATTTGTTACACAGTTCTAGAAAATAATACAATGGTTAAGCAGAAACGTTTGGCACCCATATCCCATCTCCATAGACCACCACTGAGTTTTAGCTACAGCTGTAATGGACAGTTCTGACTCCCTCCTAGCTGTTAGTGTCCTACCTCAAAAGCACACAGCATCTTTCTCAAGTCTACCCTAGTGCTTTTTCTGTTGCTGGGGAACTTTCTCAAAAGAACCCAGAAGTGAGTGCAGGGAAGATAAATGCTCCACACAGGCAACCCTCAGTCAGTGGAGGAAGGGAAATGGGATTAGCTGTATCATTGAGCCTCTGAAACATATTTGGGTAGACAGTTCTGGGAGGCATCCTGTGTGCTTCTCAGAGATCCTAGTGGAATCAAACTTCCGTTGTCTAGAGCAATGACCTCAATAATGCATCTTTGTACTAAATTTGCTCTTTTGATATCTCTCTCTGCTCCCTCACTCGTGATTCCTGGGATCATCTCCTAAATAAATTGCTGTTTCTAAATACTTGTCTCAGGCTCTATTTTTGAGAGAATGTATAGAAGCCAGTGATGCTGTAAATTAATATGTAAAATACTAAAACAGAGAGTAGGTATGATGGAGCAAGTAGAGATAATAATTTCAGCTTAAATATAATGAATTTAAGGGTCCTGTAAGATAGTAATTCATTGATTCATTCAAAAATATTTAGTGATCATCTATTATGTGATATGGAAAAGTGAAACAGTGAACAAAGCAAACTACTTTTAATTCTTCTGATGCTAACAGCTTGATAGGGAAGGTAGACCATGAAAGAGCTCTTTGAATGTCAGAAGAGCAAATGCAGAGTGCTTAAAAGCTTATACTAGGTGGACCTAACCTAGCTATGTGTACTCTTGGAGGATTTACTAGAGAAAGCAACTTTTCAAGTAAGATCTTATTGCAGAATGGACCTGTGGGGGCAGGGGACAAAATATCATTGTCACAGGTAACCAGGTCCTTGATGATCGGGACAAAGAATTGAACCAAACACCCAGAGTTTATAGCCGAGAACATGGGAGCAGGCCAACTCCAAGCAGAGACTGACCTCATGGGCTGGAGGGACTCTATTCTTATAGGGCGGATCCTTCCAGGCTAGTTTTGGTGGTTTTTTACTGCACATGTAGAAATACTTGTATTACTTTAAAGGTACTGCACAGGTGGTCTCCCATGATTTTCCATGATTGGCCGCCAGGGAAGGGGGTCCCACAATGTTAACAAATTGACCCCCCTTCTCCTGGGGTCTCCTGTACTAGGTTTGCCTTTCCCATCGCCAGAGAATTATAGCTCTCCATGTTAGAGACTGGTGAAAAGGAAAGGAATTATTTATTCAAGTGATACAGACTTAAGAGTAATGACTTCATGTCTTCATCAAAATCCCAAAGTCCCTTGAAACACCCACAAACA